TCCGTTTGCTATCAAAAAATCATGACATGAAATACATTTTCATGACTTAAAACACCTTTCATAACTTTGACATGCTTATGCATTTTAAATGAAATGCATAACTAACATTATTTATGAATGCATGCCCTAAATGGTCGTGTAGCCATGTTATGACAATATACATAAAATTTACGCAACATAACGGCATATATAACAACATCTCATATAAATCACTTCAATCATCGCATATCACATCAATCCCAACATAAAATCTCATCACCAACTAAAATTCAAGCACAATTCAAGCATACCAATTATTCCCAATTCAATGCATCATACATTATTTAAAAGAAAACACATTTATAAATATAAAGGTAATGTAAATAATTAAAATTTCATTTCTATTTCATTAAGCTACATACTAAAATTATTTTCTTTAGGTTTCTAACTTCCATTACACATTGAAATTTACCCAATTATGTCTCATGCCATGTTCTAACTTAATTTGGTGTTATTTAACTAGTTATATGCTTTATTTTCAATTTGGGTCTTAATGGGTCTAAAGTCTCTAATTTTATTAAACAAAATTTTCTTTGGATTCTTGTGAAAGCTTTCATTCTAAATCATCCATCCACATTGATTCAAACTTGAATGAGCCAATTTAGGGTTTAATATTCAATTGAAACCTAAATCATTAAAATCTTCCATTTAGGCCAAATTATCCCATTAATTAAATCCCGATTATTTCTTCTCATTTCACCTTAAAATCTTAACACCAACTAACTCAAATACTCATCAATCATAGGAAATAATGTAATTGACATTTAAGCTACAAAATTATGCTTAAACCCGAATTGGGCTCAAATCCATATAACCAATTTTCTTCAATTTTCATCAAATTTTTTATTCCTACACATTAAAACATGCTCGTTCCGAGTATAACTCGGCCATTGAACTATAATTTAAATGCTTGGAACTCAAACCTTAAATTTTCCAAAATAGGTCGAATATAATCTCCCTAAATTAATGAGTTTTTCTTCAATTAAAGTGTAGTTTTTTATTACTAATCACTAATTCATGCCTAACTAAGTCAGAATTGAGTGCCAAAACATCAATTATATGAAATTACTAAAAACCCCCAAATTAAAGGTTTAGGTCGAATAGGGTACCTTGAATAACCCTAGGAATTTTGGAGTTTTAAACTTAAATTTTAAGCTTAATCAACCTATTTTCATCTCAATTTCATGAATTATAAGCCTAAAATCATTTCTCTCAAATTTGGTTCATTAAGAACCCTAACCCTAATTTTTCTTCAATTAAGCAATTAAACCAAAGTTAAGCAATTAAACATAAAATTGACTTAAAATTAAGTATTCTTGTGATGTAGGTGAGGTTAAATTACTTGTTTGAGCTCTAATTGAACCTTAAAAAGCTAGGTTGTTGGAGAATTTATCTTCATCCTCTTTTCCTCTAAATTTTGGATTTTGATCTTCGAATTTGTTCGTTGAGAATTTTAGCTTTCCACTTAAAATTTAGGTTTTCTCTACTAATTAGAAGTGCTTAAAATGTATTGAAAATATTTTGGTTAATATTTGGGTGGAAATTTTGCAAGGGTTTAGTTTGTGTTTTTCTCTTTTCTTGGTATTTTCAATCTTTTTAGCAATTCTATTTATAAGGGGATTTTGTATACCTATTAACCTAATGTCCACCCTTAATTTGGGTGAATCTTAGACCTTGATTCATTTTCTAATTATTGATTTTCATCTCGTCCCAATTCTTGGCCATTTATTCATGCTTTAATTTAACACCTCCACTTTGCTTGTTTCTGGCCATAATTTTTAATGAATGTTAGAATTAATTAATGCCCTAAGTTGGTAAAAATTGGGAGAAAAATGACAAGTTTTGGTCCTCCAAGTCACTAAGGTTTTCCATATCCTATTCTTTACTAAACCCTCCTTTTATTCAAAAATTTACTTCTAATTCTTCATTTTTAGTATTAGGACTAATTTTTAACCCTTAACATTCATACATAATTTAATTTGCAACATTATACATTTAATTTTATGCAATTGAGTCCCTAATTTTATACAATTTAGTCCCTACTTCTAAAATCTCATTCTATACTTTTTCAAAAGTTCAATTTCTTTTAGAATAAATTCAAAATTTTTTAAGGGAGTTTAATCTAAATTTTCATATTTTTTGGACCACATTTAAGCCTCTAAATTAATTATTTAGTGTAAAAATTAGACTATTTCTTCTAGAAAATATTCCTTATACAAAATAAAATTAATTTAAATTTATTAGGTATTCTTAAAAATTCCATATGATTTTTCTATGCCCTTAAAAAAATTTTCTCATTCTTTTAAAGTATCTAATTTAATTCTTCTATCTCTAAAACACTATTCCAATACATAGAATTTCAAAGAAAATATTCACATCACATGAAAAAATTCACATAAGCACATAAAATAATTCAAAACCCCTCCGACAAATATTCTAAGCACACAAAATATTTTTCATGCACAAACAAGCATGCTTTGATTAATTATATCATGCAAAAACTACTATTTATGCACTCGTAAAATTAATAAAAATATTTTTTAAACATAAAAAACTATTTTAACTATTCTAAATATTATATTAAGTCCTTAATGATTATTTTTCACTCTCAAAATATTTTCCACATGTCTTTAATATTAATTTTTTTATATTTAATTTCAATTTTAACGAGTACTAGCTATTACACTTAGCCTCTCAACTAGATATCTTTTTGCATTGTCTTGTTTATTTTCTCTTTTTCTCTTCTCTTTCTCTCTCTTTAGGCATACAAAAATTCTAGTCGATTTAGGTGATGCCCGGTATGTAAGTGAGAGAGTTTTGATTTTTTTTTTTATATAGATTTTGTTAAAGATCGCGAAGTTGAAATCCCCTCATAATTGCTATGAAGCTAGTATTTATAGTAAAACGAAGATAATCCTTTATCACTAGGATAGTGCCACGTCATTCATATTTGGAGGGTCGATTTGAATTGGTTGAAGTTGAGTTCTTATGTACTAAACTCTTTCAACTTACTAGTAAATGTTAAAAAAAAACCAACAATAGGACATTAAAATAGACCATGTTTCAAATTCACCAAACTAATTTTTTTTAATGCATTCGAGAGATAAAACTATGTACATTGATTATGTCAAATATATGTGTTCATATTTGTGTCCATCATTGTGCTTGTCTAAAACTTTGTGCTAGACTAGATTTATTTTCAATCTAATTCATTTATAGTGTAGAGTGGATTCATAAAAATAAATAAATTAGTACATAGTAAAATAAATTAAAATTTTTATTAATTTTTATAGATAAATTGATCATATACAAGAATAGTTTCCTTTTTTTCAAGGAGAGGAAAGGAAAGGAATTAAAAAAAAAATGTTAGGAATTGGATACTAAAGAGAAACCCATTTGAACCATTAAGCACTTTTAGTTTAGAAAATATAATCATTTAACAAGAATAGGAACCATTAAGCAATTTTAGTTTAGAAAATATACTCATATAACAAGAATAGGAATTCAATGTATGTGTTGGATGTCCTATCTTATATATTAAGGTACTATTTGGTAATTAGGAATAAAATAGTGGGAATGAGAATGAAAGTTTTATTCCCACGTTGTAGTTGTTTGGTTAAAAGGAATGAAGTAGGAATGGAAATGAAAATTTATACACAACTTCATTCCCATATAAGATGTGGGAATAAAAATAAGGAATGAGAATGAGTTTTTTTTGTAAAAATAATAATATATTTTATTTATTTATTATCTATTAATTACTTTTACTATCACCACTACCACCACCACCACTACCGCAACCACTAGAACCACCACTACCATAACCATCACCGTCATCACCTTTATTATTTATACAATTATTATAGTTTGATAAAATTATTTTTTTAATTATTATTTTTATTTATATAAAAAATCAGATATTAAAAAATTTAAATTGCATTTCAATTTTTCATTAGTATTATAAACACAGTATGAGAATATAAATGTCATTTCGATTCTTGTATTCCCATTCTGAACCTTTTATTCCCGATTATCAAATGACACCTAAGGTTATCCATTGATCGAAATTAGGAGTTTAGGTTTTTCATCCCGTCCATAAAGTTTGCTGGAAAGTTTCTTTTTTAATGTGCACTTTATGGTTAGTCTTGGCCAAAGCTGGCTTCTTGATATAAATCTCTTTTCGAAACAAATCTGCTAATTGCGGAAACAACTTAATCATGACACTGGGGCATTGATCATGTTTGGAACCCATTAAACCATTATGATTATGTAATGTTAGGGGATGGATTAGTAGTCAAACAAGTTTGTTTCATTTCTTAAAGTTTTGTATTTTATATCCAGCATTTAATATAATTTATTTCATTAAATATATTAAGTTGACGTGGAAAGTTTAGTAAAATTTAAATTATCTTATCCTTAATTAAATAATATAAAGCGTTCATATATATATATATATATATATTTATTGAAGTCCAGTTACACATTATAATAAATTATAAGTTTTTTTTTTAGTTTTGAAAAATAAATTACTCAATTTTTTTTTGTTTTAAAAATAATTTTTTAATTTTTTAATGAATATTGATTATAATTAATTTAATATTATTTATTTTTAAAAATATTTTCTTTTCTCATTAATATTTATATATTATTTATTTTTTATTAAATTAATAAACATAGATTGAAAAATAACATGAAAGGACTAATTAATTAATTTTTTTTAAAAAACTTTTTAATTGGTTTTGCAAAAAATTATAATTTACTCCAGCATCATCACCCTAAACACAGACGAGGAATTTTTATCCGCCACGTATTGGAAGGGCAAGTTATTGTTTTGACATAAAATGAACAAAACAAAACAGCTCCGTTCCGTCGTCTTTTGTTGCTTCTGCTTTTTCTTCGACACAGTCGAAAAGCATATATGCGAATCTGCAATTGAAGTTATCAGCACAAGTCTAAGAAAAATGAAGATCTTTCACTTTCCTTGCTTAGAAGATAACTACTCTTACCTGTAAGAAAATTGAATATATTTATTGTTGTTGTTGTTTTAATTCGAATACAAGATTGTTGACTTATTATTACTATTATATGGACAATTTGTAGAATCATAGATGAGGGTACTAAAGAAGCAGCAGTTGTTGATCCAGTCGAGCCCGAAAAGCTTGTTAGTGCCGCCAATGAACATGGGCTCAATCTCAAGCTCGTCCTCACTACTCATCATCACTGGTTCTTTCTTTTTACCGTTCAATGTGTCTTTTTTTTTCTTTTTCTTTTTTGCTATTTCATACCGAAAAGTAAATTTTTTTATGATCTACTCCCATTTAGATTCATCAATGGGTGGCTCACTTGCATTAATTATATGGGCGCACCTCGCTAATCATGTACAGTAACTAATAATCAATCAATTTTTTGTGTTTGGTAGGGATCATGCTGGGGGAAATGAGAAGATAAAGGAGATGGTGCCTGGTATTAAGGTGTATGGTGGCTCACTTGATAATGTAAAGGGCTGCACGAATAAGGTGGAGAATGGTGACAAGGTCTCACTTGGGGCTGATGTTAATATTTTGGCTCTTCACACTCCTTGGTATAACGTTATTTAAGATATTTGTTTTTTCGTTTAATTTTTTTTCTTGGTTTTGTTATGAATTTTGAGACCCTTTTTGGCGAATTGCTTGTTTGGGTTGAAACTAGTGAAAGTTAGCTTAAAGCATAGTTGGATTCTTGAATATTAGTAATTTTTTTTTCTTATATTCTATGCTTTCTATCGACTCTTATTGGCTCCTGTTGTCTTGGATGTTATCCAGTATTGCTTTAGATTTAAAGCTAAACAAGTTGTTTGGTGCTTTTAGAAATGAATATTTCTTTGCATTTTATTTACATTACTGGAGGGTAATGGTTCCCTCGTCTTGGGAATGCATTTGATGAAACTGTACTTGTTTGATTGAGATATATGAAGCATGGGTCAATATTCCTTCTCCCATGACTTGCAATCGAACTAGGAAGGCCTTTTTTTTTTTTTGTTGCATTTTCTATCTTGTTTCTTTACTTTGTGGAGACAAATCTTTCTTCCATCTTCGTTTTCTTCTCTCCCGAGACTGTTGTAACTTCACTGTTTTTTGTTTCTCTGTTCCTTCTCCAACTTTCTGTTATCAGTCACACCAAAGGCCACATAAGTTATTATGTGACTGGCAAGGAGGGAGAGAACCCAGCTGTTTTCACTGGCGACACACTGGTAAGTTAAACCATGTCCTTCAGTTCCTCAATTGTTGTTTTTATTGGATTGGATTTTTTTGAGATAAAATGTGAAGATGAATTGCTTTTGGCTGGGAGATTCCTTATCCTCTATTCATTGGAGAGAGCTAAGAAGTAATGATCAGCTTCATGCAATTACAAATAGATAATGGTCATGTATTCGGGTACCATAAACAGAATGATATGGAAGATACACCTGCACTGTGGAATAATCTTTACGAAGAATACTTTGGGAGTGGAGTCTACTTAGACATCCTCTACTCTAAAAAATATTCCATTCAAAATATTTTAGCATTAAATAATAACTTAGCTCATGGCACTTGCTTGATGTGCAGTTTATTGCTGGTTGTGGAAAATTTTTTGAAGGCACAGCAGAACAGATGTATCAGTCACTTTGTGTAACATTGGGCTCATTGCCAAAGCCTACTCAAGTTTATTGTGGCCACGAGGTAAATATATATATGTATATTTATTTATTTAAGTTTCATTTTTCTTTTCGATAAAAGCAAATTCAAAATTGGTTATAAATCCTATCTGCGGATGAGAAGCTGGGGTTGGATGTGTAACATATAAGGTTGTTATCAGCTAATTTGGGTATACAGCTTCATTTGTATGATACCAATGAAATAAAGTGTATGTGTGTGTTGTGTACTCATACCCCTATGCCGCTCTCTCTCCGATTTTGAATTTGTAACTTTGGGTTCGTTGCCAAAGCCTACTCAAGTTTATTGTGGCCACGAGGTAAATATTTTTTTCTTTTTTAGTTTCATTTTTCTTTTCAATAAAAGCAAAATCAAAATTGTTTATAAATCCTATCTTTTGCGGACGAGAAGCTGGGGTTGGATTTATAACCTGTAAGGTTGTTATCAGCTAATTTGGATATAGTACAGCTTCATTGGTATGATACCAATGACATAAAGTGTATGCGTGTGTTGTGTTGTGTATGCATACCCCTATACCCCTCTCTCTTTTCCAGAGCTGTGTTATGCTTTCTTCTTCTCCCTTAGGCAATGGGATTGTTATTATGTTGAGTGCTTGAACCCAAAAAAACTTCATATATATGGTTGACCTTTTGGAATTGAAGTGCTACTAGAAAAACTTGTATTGAAAACATAGTCATGGAACAGTGGGTATGAGAGTCGATTCAAATTGGTTGGCAGGATCTTGTATATATTAGGGACATGGAAAATGATTTTAGGGAGTTGATGTGGCATTTGCTATTTTTTTCTATTGATTGAGGGGCGGGGGCCAAATGCTTTCGCTAAAGATACTGGGAGTGTCAAATGGTTGGTTGAGCTTTGTAGTGGAATGCAAATGTGGTAGTGATTTTTTTTTTTTCAGTCTTCTTTCCAGTTACTGGAGCATTTCTAATGTGCACAAATTAATTACAGATCTTAATTGGAAAAGTTCAACTAAATGCAAAGATTTATTAACTTGTCTGTTGATCCCAGTCCATTTTTTGTGTGTGTCGTCCCTTAATTTTCATGTCCTGTAACATTTGGTTTTATGTTCCTCAGTATACTCTGAAGAACTTGCAGTTTGGTTTGGCGGTTGAACCAGACAATGTAAAAATACAGAAGAAGCTATCATGGGCTCAGAAACAACGTGAAGCAGGGCTCCCCACCATTCCCTCAACTATCGAGGAAGAAATGGAAACAAATCCATTCATGCGTGCAGAGCTTCCAGATGTTCAGGTTAACAAGATTTTGATTTTGATTGTACTTAACAGCAAGAATCCTAAGGTCTGAAGATAGCATGGCATAGAATTCTGGAAATTGAATGTGTTCTGTCATGTTTTCCTCTGGTTTGCTTCGCCTACTTCAACAAAATTGATCTGACTGCTTTTGCTATGGCTTATTTTTAAACATTTCTTCATTTACAGGCAAAGGTTGGTTGCCAGTCTCCTGTTGAAGCTCTTCGAAAGATAAGGCAAATGAAGGACAACTGGAGAGGCTAGCTCCGGATTCTGCCTTTCCATTTCCTTTTGCTGTGCGTGTGCTGGAAATGGAGTGTGTGACTGATATATATGTACACTGTAGCAACATGCAGCGTGAGGTAGGAGTGAACCTTCAATTTCTTTCATGTATTTTGCACGGAAGATATGAAACGCTCACTGAGCTAGTCAGGGCCCTGCGCTCAGTATCCCAGATGTTATACTATTGTATGTTTTTTTATTTATAATTTTCCTTCGCAATGACTGTTTACCTGCTTGAACTTGTAGCTCGATGTCTTTGTACAGGCCAAGTCTAGTTCTTTTAGTTGCACCACAGAAACCCAGCTGCCCTCCTAGTGCAAAAACCCTAACTACAAGTAGTCCTGCATTTCTAGAAGCCTGACCTAGCCACCACAGCACTCCTGGCCTTTTTTATCCCTCTAGCCATCTCGTGTCTTGTTTCATGCTACTTGATAATCTGAACCTGGGCAGAAAAACAAGGTTCAATATTTTTATGAACCTGAACTTGAAAATCAAGTTTCAATATTTTTACGAATCTGAACATGAGCCTGACTACCAAAAAACTTACAGACTTGGTTAAGTTAGGTTCTGGTCTTTTTTTAGGTTAACCTGAATCCATACATAAAAATGTACATTTTAAAAAAAAATTAATCAAACAGCTTGAAGCAATAAGTTGAAATTTTATAATCTTTTAGTTAAAAGTTTAAATCCCATAAATATCACAATTCGACATTAATTTTTATTTTATACACTATAATTATAATTGACGCTTGAATTTCTTGTAGTCTTTTGCATAATTAATGGAACAACGTATAATTGTATAGTCAGTTAGGCTCTGGTTTGTTTTTAGGTTAACCTGAACAACGTATAATTGACATTATATGAATTAAGTATTACTATTACTAAACAAACTAAAAGATATGAGATTTTCACTCTTCATTTACTGTATCATTTCTTTCTTTCGTTCTTTTTTTTTTTTTTTGGCTGGGCTATTAGAGAAGCTGCCTCAGCCAAGCTTGGCAACAAGCCAAGGCAGGCCTGGCCTGGCTCGCAGGCCCTGAAAAACAATCCAATTTGCTTTTTTTTTTTTTTATTACTATTATTCAAAAAACTAAAAGATATGAGGTTTTCATTATTTATTTACTGTAACATTTTTTCTTTTTTCTTTTTAGGGCTAGGCTATTAGAAAAGCAGTCTCAGGCAGGCTTGGCTTGGCTTCCAAGCCCTGAAAAGCAGCCCAGTTTGCTTTTTTTTTTTTTTTTTCATTTCAATAATTTATTTTTATTACTCCATATTTAATCGTACAATTTTACTTTTAAAATGAAACTTTGCCTTTTACTTTATCTAAACATTTCCAAAAAATACTAATAAACTATAGAGAGAAATAGAATTTTTGTTTTCTGTTTTAGTTTAAAAATAGAAAAAGAAAAAAGAAAGTGGGTGTTGCTAGGAGGAAAGGAATAATGGTTTGTTAAAATGTGACATTTTATGAGTTTTTTTTTTTTTTTTTTTATATATAAGAATGTTCGATTTGAATATTTTTTCTTTTCCCCATTCTCTAAATTTTTTGTTCTTGAAAAGGAAAAAATGAATATGCATATAGGTTTATCATATCCATTGGCAAACTCATTGATAAATAAATGATGTCTTTTACATTCACACATATTTATAGAAATTCCATCGTATTTATATTTAAATTATCTTTATGACTTAAACTAATCAATGAAGATATATAATTTATTTCTCAAAAAAAAAATTATATAATATAAAATTTTAGACTTAATAATTTTTGCATTATAATATGAATACAAAACTCTTAATTGTACAAAAAAAATTAAATTATATTTTGAGAGGTGCCATTTGCATTCCTCACATGTTTCCTACCTTTTTTTTTTTTTTAATAAATTACAAATGAATTAAACTAACTTTGAAATACATAAGGCTATTAGGAATGGGACAAATGAATAGTAAAATATTGTTTATTTGCGGTTCATTTGCCTCGATTCACTACTCATTAGTGGCAATTTTATGATTTTATATAATATCTTTTTTATATTTTTCTTATAGTTTTTTAGGCATTCATTTTCAAATTTTACGAGTTCATTCTCTTTTGGTCTCTTATGTTTTCAAAATTTATTTTTAAATCCTCATATTTTTAAAAATATTTTGACATCTCATGTTTTTAATTTAGTTCATTTTTGTTTCATATTTTTTTAAAATATATTTTTTGTTCCTCATATTTTTAAAAGATGTTTTTAGTCTCTTATGTTTTTAGATTATAGAACAAACACATATATTGGATTTTTTTTTATTGATTAAAATTAATCTCTTAAATTTTTCATTTATCATAAAAATTCTCATCAAATTAATTTTTTTTTTTTATGTTTTATGAAATTTTATTTGTTAATAAATATGATTTTATCTTTCTCTATGTATGAATTTTTAATAGGATTTTTTTTTAATAAATAATAGAATTTAGACCTTATTCTTGATATAATTAATTTTTTTGGAATAAAATTTTAATTTATTTTTATTGCACTCTATTAACTTTTAATATATTTCTTAAAACTTAATTTTTTTAAACATATTTTTTAATATGTACAGAGTATAGTAATGATGTATACAAAAAAGTAGTGAGATAATTGATTTTATTAAAAATTACTTATGCATCTACATATATAACACCAACTATTTTCTATTAATTATTTTTAATATTCTAAATTTAATTTATTTTAAATAAAATAATATTTTAAAAGAACTACATAATAATTCAAATACATGTTTTTATACCTAAGATTATTGATTTTGTGTGTGTGTGTGTGTATCTGTCTATATATCAAACGTACATATTTTTAAAAAGTTTAAAAAGATTCATTAGTTAATTTTTATATTGATTATTGATATATTTTTCTGATATAGTCTTATAAAAAAATATTAAGATATTTTTAAAAATTTTATATTTATATTACTCGTAGGTTTTTATTTAAGAACGAATGAATAAAAAAATGAATCATGTTTTTTTAACAATGGACATTTTTTAAAATATGAAACTCATAATTTAATTTGCAATTCAAGAATCCATTTCATCATAAATTAAGAAGTAAAAATATGAAAAAAGACATTTTTTAAAAATAAAAAAATAAATTATTCGTGGTTAAGACTGATTAAAAAAATTTAAATAATTTATTTTTGAAATCAAAAGAATTAATTAATTCAGTTTTCAAAATGAGATGAACTAATTTATAATCTAATTTGAAATTCAAGGATCTCTTTCATTATAAATTAAGTAGTAAAATTTATGAGAACCAATTTTGTAGTAATTTTTATTTCAATTTATTGACTTTAATATATTGTATACGAGCTTAGATGTTTTTTTTTTTTTTTAAATATTTATACTACTTACTCGAATCTACTAAATATGATTATATATATATATATATATATATATATATATATATATATATATATATATATATATATATATATATATATATATATATATATATCATTAGTTTTGTTGAAAATTAATTATTTATCTACATACATAACACCAATTATTTATTTATTTATTTTAGTTGTAAAATCTATATTTTTAAAATAAAATAATTGAAATATTGTTTTGAAAGAACATTTCGAGTTATTCAAATACAACTTTTTATGCTAATATTATTGATTATTTTATTAATAAATATATATAAATAAAACGATTTTGTTTAGCAAATAAATTTGATTTACATTAATTATGAGAAATAAGATTTTTATTCACACTACACTATACGAATTTTTTACCTTATATATATATACCGATTGTCCAATTACGAGCATAGCACGGTTATCTAACTAATCAATTCTATATAACTTTCATATGGTCTAATTTTTTAACTCGGTTATCATATATTAAATGTGATTGATCAAAATAAAACAAATATCATCAAATATCGTGGTTATTTGTGATAAAATATATATTTTTTTATGTTTAGTTTGTAATTATTAATTTAAAATAATAAGATCATGGCATCAAATATAATTTATACTTAATTAGTATATTCTCATAAACTATCCATTCAAAATCTCTTTTGTATTTAGTTACTACGTGCATAATTTGTGTCATAATATTGAGGTATTTAATAAAATAGGATTATCCTAAGTTATTATTAATTTGTATATACTAATTATTCACTTGAAAGATTAACCAAAACTAGTTATAAACTTAGTACTCATTATGTGCATACTCATATACATTAAAAGTTATAAAATCCACTAAAAGATTACCCACAGTGAACACACGCGTGTATATATATATATATATATATATATATATATGATACTCATGTAAATTAACCCGATTCAGATTTATTAATATCGAATATATGTTAATTACTGCTAAAATCTATGCTAAAATCTGAAAAAATAAAATAAAAACAATTTCTTGGAATATCGATTGTGCCAACTGTCAGTTTCGCATATATATATATATATATATATATATATGTACGGTTTGGAATGTTTGTTTTGAATATCAACATAAGGAATAAACACTCGCGAATCTAACACTGCACCAAAAATTTTCTTAGTAGGATATGCGACCATTTCTATGATTCCTTGAAAACGTTATAATTATAATAACTTTAATTTATGTACTATGCTTTTATTTATCATACTGCAATCATTTATTTTATCAACTAGGAATTTAACTTTATTGCTTAGTTTTTTTTAATTCATAAATCAAAGTAAAAAGAAAGGAAAAGAAGAATGTCAAAACATTGAACAATATAAAAAAAATGCAACATGAAATTTATGTTTGTGACTTTTCTTATTACTATTGTAACATAACTTTTGATAATTTTTTTGTATCAAACGAATGTAATAATAACTAAAACCAAGATAAATAAAACAGTATTTGAAAATGATGAAAAAAAATATTAGGAGCTAATGTATATATATGTATGTATTTATGAGGAAATAGGTTATTGATAAATGCCTTTAGAAGTAAATAAAAAGGT